ATATATTAATTTGTTATTAATGCTAAATTAAATTATGGTATGAAAAATGAACTAAAAACTATCTTTGTAAATAAAATATTCATTAAACCTAGAATAAATTACTTCATCGAAGCTAAATTAAATTATAATAGATAATTGAAATAAAAAAAAAGTTATACGAAAAAATGAGAACTTTTAAGTTGTTAATTTGATACCAATATCAATACAAGTTTTTATGGAGTATTCAAATTTATATTTTATTCATATATAAAAACATTACCGTTTTTTAAAAACCATACAAAACCGCATTATAGAATTGACAGAGACAAATAATAAAATGAAACATTAAAATCAAGATATATCTCGTTATATTACACAAGTACGGTTCTAGTGTTTAATATACACTTCTAACTTATTTTCTAAAATTTATTTAAGGTGGAAAATCAAAATCAAATTTTTTTCAAAAGAAAGTATATTTAAGTTTTCTATTTCTTCATATTAGAGATTGTATATATAATAAAATATTACATATATTAGTTGAAGGTGTTTTTATCATCTATAAATAATTTATAAAGAAAATAAATATAGAAAAAATAAAATCTGATGGTCTCTTCATTTATCTAAAAATAAATTACAAATTTGGTCCTTATAGTTTTGGTAAAAATTTGAATTGGGTCCCATAAATGAAATAATTACAAGGACGGTCATCATGGTTTCATTTTTATTACGAATCAGATCCCTCATGTTAACAGTTGGTTAAAGTCTCCATTAACTTAGAGACATTTTTCAAATTTTTTTATGTGTTATGAAATTTATAATTATTTCAAGGGCCTGTTTTGTCAATTTCTAAAAACTTACGTTTTTTTAATTGTTTAAGGGTTCAATTCATAATTTCCATCAAATCACGGGGACGAAATTTGTAATTTACTTTTCTCTAATTACCCTTTCCTTATCACTACCACCACCGCCGCCCACCACCCAGCCATGAAAGATGGCAACCTTACCCCTCCTCCGACTGTTCTTGTAACTATTGCAAAAAAATTCATCGGTCAAATATCTTGGTTCACCCTCTTAATCAAGCATCCTATCGCATTCACCACCACAATCACCATCATTATCGCTAAATTATGTCGTCGATTCATGGAAACGCGCGACAATGTATGCATTTTACAGCACAACCCAGTCACCGACATATTAATCTAGTTTCAGCCACCGTGTACTTTTTTTTCCTTCTTCAACGATTTGAATATTGTTTCTAGTAATAAAATAATAACTCTTCAATTTAGTTTGTTTATTGACTTCTGCACCTAGCTACTTTAGGTTGGCCCTTTGTTTGGTTATTGATACAACATTACCTATTGATAAACCTCTAACTATTCCTCATATACCGTCGTTGCTTCTTCTCTGGGAACAGTGTTTTACTCCTAAATGTCCAGTCAACTATTGCACCTCAACGCATTTCGAAGAACCATCTTGAGATAAGAATCAATTATTTCACGGGGTTTTGGATCTTGTAGGATTTTATTAATCGGGTCTTGTGTATATAGTAACTATATTGTTCTAATCGGAACTGTTTGATCATATATATATATATATATATATATATAGAGAGAGAGAGAGAGAGAGAATCTGGTGAAAAATATACGAAAGAAAAGAGAAGTTTCTTAGATTTTTAAAAATTGGCAAATCACATCCTTAAAACAATTATAAATTTCACAAGACAAGAAAAAATGAGAATCCCTCGTAAGTTAATGGAGAATTTAAACGATTGTTAATACGAGGGACCTGATCTATAACAAAAATGAAATTACAGTGACCGTCCCTGTCACTTAAGGTACCGGATCCAAGTTTTTACCAAACCACAGTGACCAAATTTGTAATTTAACTTTTATTTAATTATCTATTTATATTTTTCTTGGCTTTTCGACTTCCAAGGATGTAATTTTATGAAATCAAACTTATTAAACACAACCAGACGAATATCGCCTCCCCTGCACGCAGCTGCCATCCCCATTCTTTTCATCAGACATTTACTCCTCTACAAGTCTATGTACACACCCAACCGCCTTCCATTAATCCTCCGGCCCCACTTCCCAAACCTCAATTTTAGTCCTGTCCCCAATTTCCACTATAAATCCTCCAAAAACACTTATTTCACCTTCATAATCAATCGTTGTTTTGATAATGGCGTTAAGAAATTACTGTTTCATCCTCCTTGTGGTGGTTTATATCGTGCTATGCGGCTGCGGAACCGGTGGTTCGGCGGAATCGTTGGCGGAAGAGTGTGCGTCGAAGCTACCGGAGGTGATGATGTGTGTACCGTTTGCGTCAGGCAAAGAGGCGACACCGCAGCAGAAATGTTGTGAATCGGTGACGGATATGAAAAAAAGCAATCCGGCTTGTTTGTGTTTTATGATTCAACAGATCCATAACGGAACAAATCCGGCGCTGCAGAAGATGAATATTCAAGAGAGTCGGCTTCTTCAACTGCCTTCTGCTTGTAAAATCGCGAATGCAAGCGTCAGTGATTGTCCAAGTAATTTCTCTCTCTCTCTCTCTCTATGTAGTTTCTAATCCGTAGATATCTTATTGATCCAGACACAATTGGCCATATACTGTAATAAGCACAACAAAATAACATATAATTCATACAATCGTACGTAGATTTAACTTAATGATTTGAAAATATTGAACCAATTGTATAAATGTTTTACGACTTTTATGTAACAAACACAATATATTTTTCTCTCTCTCTCTCTCTCTCTCTCTCACTCTCAATATCTATATTACAAAATATTTTATAAAAACTATTAGAAACCATTTTTATATAAGAAGTACTATTTATTGATGCATATTATTTAAATTTAAAACTACAAGTAAATTATGCATAACTAATGCTTAACTTTTTAAAGTTTTTTTATTTGAATTCGTGTAAGTAATTACAGATAAATATACTTAATATAGGATAAACATTTTATTTTAAATATAAAATATAATTATGAAGTCTTAATAGAATACTAGTTGTGTACCCGCGCAATGCGGCGGGAGTCATGAATTTTAACGATTTTGAAGTTCCACTGGTTTTATATGATAAGATTTAACGATGATATAGGTTACATTTGGTCTTTACATATTAATACAATTTGAATAAATAAGAGTTATGGTTCCAATTACAGACTATTGATGAAAAAAATTGCATGACAATTTAAAATCCAACATATTTAAACGACTCCACAAATGTATTCGATTTACACCAAGAGCAAAGAACCAAGAAACTTGAGTATTAAGATAAACACTCAAAACCAATAAAGAAAACTACAAATTTGACAGATCATAAGCCATGAAAAGACAAAAAAAATGAGTTTTAKAATGAAATTTCAACTGCGTACCCTCTTTCTTGTCCAGAAACTCAGGTTAAGTTGAATTAATACATGTACATATATATATATGTCAAAAAAACCCAAGAACATATTAATTCAAAACATATTATACAGTGCAATTTRGACAGCCTAACCCCAAAATATATAGTATATATATAAATAAATAACTATAAAAGTATAAATCGTAAATATTAAAAATATTTTTTCACAGTATATATAATAATATAATTAAATCAAAAACTATTCAATATTTGACTCATTTCGAAGGTATTAACGTGACGATTATAATGATGTAACTTGTTAAAATAAAAATGTATTTTTTAAACATGTTTTAATTGATATACGATTATGTATGTTAATTTGATAAAAGTTTAAAATGAAACATCTAAAAGTAAAATGACGTAAAGTAAATTAATTAATTATGGAGGTATAAAGTATAAATTTAAAATTATAATTTTAAAAAAATCGGTTGTGAGATGGTGAGTGTATGTGAGGGGGTGAGTGTATGTGAAGAGAGGAGGATGTGAAAAAGTGAGTATAAGGGTATTTTGGTCATTTAGAATTTTAAAACTTTAAGACTTTTGTTAAATTTGCTTAATAAGATAGTATAGATTTAATTATTTTTTTTATAAAAAATTGTATTATTAGTTTTAAAATAAATTATTTCATTATTAAACTTAAATTAAATTATAATAAAACTGGATTAAAAAAATTACATCAAACAACATGAACTTTTTAAATAGTTAATTTGATACTACTATAAATATTTTTTAAATTATATGATATTTTTAAATTTATATTTTATTTAAAAATAAAAACATTATCGTTTTCTTAAAAGTAAATAAACCACACTATAATGTTAACATGGACAGAATAAAATGAAATATTAAACTCAGTGATGTATTTTGTTGTATTGCACAAGTATCCTTCTAATATATCTATATCTATATATGTGAGTCCCAATTGATTTGGTTTACACAGAGCTCATAGTTATATCACTATGTATTTATCTATATCTATGTGTACATCTATATCTATATCTGTATACGGAATTAAATTGAATCAATTTTTAGAGAATATGATAAAAACAAGAAAAATTGATAAAAATGGTTGATTGATCGATTAAATTCACTCTATAACAACATTTTAAAACAAATTCTTAAAATAGCCACAATTTACCAACATGATTTACGCAAATATATAAATCATATCAAAGGGTTATTGGCTTAACGGTATGTGAGTCTTTAGCTTCCTAGAATTTTAGGGTTCAGATATCATCTAAAAGTGAGGAGGATGTATAAGTTTATTTGTTTTTTTTATCGTATATAAATATTATATATTTAAAAAATATATAAATTATTTACGTAAATTATAGCTATTTTAAGATTTTGCTTTAAAAAGTGGCTTTAAAATAAATTCATTTTAATAGTTGGTTTTTTATCAAATTTTCTGAACGCATGAAAGATCTGAATGGATGGATTAAGATTTCGATGAACCATTGAACTCCTATTTACGCCATCGACAGAGGGTATGAAGTGTGATATATGATTTCCATTGGATATTTACGATTTATATCCTTGTTTTTCTAATGAAAATATAGTGTTTTTATATGGTAAATAAAACTCTACATGACTCCTTGCCTATATCGTTGTTGATAGAATTGATTTGATTTTTGTTGGGATGATATCATTCTATCAGAGACGTATCGTTTAGTCGTGCATCAATAAAACGATAATAATATTGCATAATTTTATAATACTTTGGTCAAATAATTAGTGTCATCACTCTTTTTACTTTGTCGTGAACATTTTGAGTCGTCAAAATGGATTTTATGTAATTGTCTTTTTTACCCGTAGACTCTAATGGGTATAAGTCTTTTTTTTTCACTTATTGAATAAGAACCTCAGTTATTGTCATACTTCTTACCAGATAAAATTTTTCGGTAAAATAGATGACCTGATTAATGACTCAACGTTTATCCACTAAACATTTAATACAGAGCCTCTAAAACACGCATTACTTCTTTTTACATGTCTTTTCTTTAAAATAATCACTAAAATAACTATTTTGGGAACATTGTTTTATTTTTCGGATTTGAAATCTTATGATTCAATTGAAATCCTATTAATTAGATTGAATGTGTTATTATTTTATATAAAAAAAATTAGAAAAGTATGTATAGAAAGATCAATTTAAATAATATTTTAATAATATAGTTAATGATTAAATTATTAAAATAAATAATATGTTGGAGTTGAATATAATTTTTTATTCCATATTTTAAAAAATTACAGATTGTGCAAATGTAGTGAGATATACCTTGACTCTAATATTTTATTTTATATATTTTCTCTATCGATAATACGATTTTATATGGTTTTAGAAAAAAACGATAATATTTTTATTTTCGAACGAAATATAAATTTAAAAAAAAATGTATCGATATTAACATAAAATTAACTATTTAAATATTTTTGTTTTCTGTGCAATTTCTTTAGTTAAATTTTTTATATTATAATTTAATTTAGATTTAATAACAAAATAATTTATTTTTGTTTAATTATATAATTTTTATAAGGATGATAATTAAGTATTATGTTAAAACTTAATTATTATCTTAATTCTTTTTTTTATATATTTAAAATGAGATATTTATCTTATATTTGATTATATTTATATGTAGTTGCTACATGAATTCAAAAATAAAGTTTTAATAAGTTGTACTTACGTACAATTTACTTGTAGCATTGAATTATAAATAATATGCATCAATAAGCAATATTTCATGTATAAAAAATTGTTTTTAAGAATTTTTATCAAATAATTTATAATCTATATATATATATATATATATATATATATATTAATTAAAGAAAAAATCACGTACAATGACAGAACCAAGAACCAACAAATGCGTGCCATCTCATAACAATTCCCTATCTACTTAGAGCCTTTTGACTTGATATGAATGTGGTACGAAAGTGGATGGATACACATGCCCTTACCTGCTATCGACCGAACATAGATTGTCAGTAAGCATGAGAGGATACAATTGATGAAGTTTGAAGGTTGGTGGTAGTTGCATGTCTTAATGATATGGGTTGTTTGGTTGATTTTTATTTGAGTTTTATAGGGGTAAAAAAAAAAATCATGTCAACAATACCTTAAGATAAAAATTATCACAACTTTTGGTGTGTTGTTTTTTACAATTATGATATACAAGCTTTAAAAAACGGCTCTCTTATTCGTCGCAACAAATTCTTAATACATTACTTGAGGTTTGTTCATCCATTAATTTCAGGATCTCATCGTGAAACAGTCGAGGTGTGTGTAAGCTGGTTTAATACCTATAGTTATTAAAAATATCTTGATATAACATATCGTAAGACACATTATACCTAGAGAGAAATGATCATTTGTAGGCCTAGGCCAAACCTAACTTGTTTTTTTGTCCAACGGGCATAATATTGTAAACCCAAACTCTTTTTTTTTTTGCTTGACAACTTGTCATTGCCCGCCCTTGCCTAGTGACTTAATTAACAAATGTGTAACCAAAAAGTAAAAGGAAAAACATTGTAGCAATTAAAACTTTAAGCAACTAGTGACTCTATCTATTGTTGATCAATTAGAAATTTTATCATAAGGATGGTAATAAAGATAATGTAGAATTTTTTTTGGGTTCTCAAGAAAAACCAAAGAGTCCCAACTTCTATTCTATAATTTTAATAATTTAATTTTAAAATATATATAGTGTAATTTTAATTAATGGTAAAAAAAATATTAATTATAAAACATAAACGGACCAGTCGGGACTGTCTATATTTATTTTTGCATTACCTATGTCCGACCCTTAATTTTAATGAACAAACCCGGACTTGTTCATTTTCTCGATAATGGTTATACAAGCCTGTATTTGTGACAGACCAGATGAACCGGGTCTAAAACAACTCTAATTATACCATAAAATAAAATTAAGTCGAATGACGACAATTTTTTTTTTCTTTTCTTGCAGAACTCTTAAATTTGCCACCAAATTCACCGGATGCTGCAATCTTCAAGAATAATGGTTCAACCACCAGTTCTCCGACAACAGGAGGAACGACGTCGTCTCCATCTACATCTGACTCATATGGATTCAAGCATGGTGAACCGACGTTTTTAACATCTGCTATGGTTTATGTATTGCTCTTTGTGGTTGTATTTTCTATAAGTGGTTTTGGTGCCTAGTTTCTAATAGTCATGATTTTTATACGTGGCAAGATTTTGCTTTTGCATACCAATAACTTATATCTCCTTGATGGTGCCTTGAAATTGATTTAGAGTTGCTTTCTTCTTGCAATATGAAGTGCATATATATATAATATATATATATATATATATATATGTTATATCTCTATAATCTCTCTCTACACATATATAGAGAGAGATCCATTCAGGTGAGAACTGATTAGTTTATTGTAATCGATTCAATCTCAATCACAAATCAAAGATTAAATTAATAAAATTAATAATTTTAGTAATTTCAACTTAAAATTAAGGGATCTTAATAATTCTAGATTTCCCTCTCCTCAACTCTCTCCGTCAAACAACTCCTCTCTCCAACGAACATCATATCAACATATGATACACATTATACACAGTGTGATACACTTTGTAAAGCGACAAAAAAATAACAAAAACGCACATTGTAATACCTTTGATAAAAACAAGGAAAATAATGAAAATGCATATTGTGATAAAACAACACTACCTAATAATACATTGTGATACACTTTTATAAAATACCAAAAATACATTGTAATACACCTTGAAAAATAGCAAAAGTACACCCTGTGATAAATTTCGTAAAACGCTACCTCAAATAGTAGAGTTGGTTCCATAAAGAACTTGTCATAATATGTCAACTATAACATAATATGTCAACTATAACATAAGCAGGGTTTGTTTACCGTATAGTATTTGGGCATGTCATCTATATCTTCATTGTAGGTTGCTTTCAGCTTGAATAGAGTCATGTAAATGACCCAAAGAGTAGACACCAAAGTAGCAAAATTCATAACAGTGTGAATGTCATGTTCCATCATAAAGCTACAAAACAATCTTACAACTAGAAACATGCCTGTGAGCTCTTATGTCTACAATGAAAGGCCTGCCAAAGGCTGAATGCATCCATTTTAACTTCGATATAACAATACAATGAAAAATAACACAAATGTGGATCATAATAAAACATTGTATACATTTCCTACTATATGCCCTCAATAGAATATCTCACAAACACATATTGTTCTAACTGATAAACATAACACACACACACCGTCGTGAATCCATGGTCGCCATACTTCCAATATAAATTTTGAATCCTATTCTAAACCTACATCATTCTTTTTCTACTATCAATGCTTATTAGATTACCTATGACCCATCAAAAAACCATATATTTCTATTAAAAGAACAATGCCATTGATGTTATATATATAAAAAGATCTGAAAACCGTTTGTTAGTTTTCCCCATTCAAAAATCTTTGGCCATTCAACCTGAGTTATTACCCAAGAAGTTGTGATACACTTTATTGGAGTTGCAATCTGGGTTTCTTCGTGATATGGCTTCTAGTGCATTATCGAGGTCTCGGGGCGAGACTCGGGTTCTGGTGCATCATCAAGATCTAGGTTAGTTGTGCATTGTCAATATATGGGCGGCATTACAGTGCACCAGCAAGATCGGGTCATAGTACACCGACGAGATGGACATATAGAGTCTCATCTGAATCATTTGTATATTTTTAATCTAACATTTCTGAATAATAAAAGCAACCGTATTTTGTTAAAACTAAATCCTTGAATCTGGAGGTAGATATATTAAAATACGGATCATCTGTTTTTTTTTTTTTATAGTGAAAATGAATATTTTGTTCTCTATTTTATTTCAATAATTGTTTTATTTTATAGAGTAGATGAACAATACAAAACTCTAAATTTAAATAATTATCTACAAAGATAAATTGCATGAAAAAGTAACGTACTTTAACTTGATTCATATTTTGGGTAATGTACATTCAAAGCTTTCATTTTGGTACATAAAATGTAAAGTTTTAAACATTTAAGCACTCGGGTAATCGGTTGAAGCATTAACAGGTTGTCATACTGATGTGACGAGTGATGAGATGAAATTGGGTTGAATAACAAATAATACTGAGTTGGATACCACATCACTCGCCACATCAGCATGGTAACTGGTTAATGTTTCATTTCAGGAACCAAAATGGATGTTTTGAAAGTACGTTACACAAAATAAGAATCAAGTTAAAGTACGTTACTTTTTCATGCAATTTGCCTCTTTTTAAAGTTTAATGTGAGGATACATAAATGATTTTTTTATTCATTTATACTAATTAGACTGAACTATTATTATCTTATACAAAAGTTTTCTTAAAAATGTATTAAGATAATAAAACTATTATAAATATTTTATAATATAATTAATGCTAAAATTATAAAATAGAAATTCTGGTAATATTCAATGTAATAGTTTTTTTAGATTTTTATTTTAAAGAAATTATAGAGAATATGTTGATAATGAATGTATTATTTTTAAAAATCTTGATTTTTTTCTCTTAATTTTAAAAAAATTATAGAAAATATGTTTAATATGTTATTGCTTGTTGCACTAAGGAGACGTTTATTACCCGGTAAGGATTTATCGGTAAGGTAATCAAAAGGTCTTTGGCCCAACGATACCGTAGTATTTGGTCTTCTAGGAGGTCAGGGGTTTAAATCTCACCAAAGATGAAAAAAATATTTGAGTTTATTTGTTACATTTGTTGTATATAAATTTTATATATTAAAAAAAAGGCTTATCAGTAATGTTTACCCATCACCCTCAATTATCGTATGCAACTTTATTGGGTAAGAATCTTCATCGTTACCATGTGTAGGTGGTAAAACAAATGAACCCATAAGTGGGCCTTGTAAGTGGGCCTCTTTTGGATGCTATAATTTATCAACATTGGGCTTCAATACGAATCATATCGGCATTCGGCACCAGACCGTGAACAAGTAGACCCCTTGGTTTATCACAGCTTCTCTCCGGATCCTCGCCATTTTCACGGTCAATTCGACGAGTTTCTCCTACCGCCGTCGCCATGTCTCAGGTAAAATCACATTCTGAATTCTGATTGTTTTTATGAATTGATCGATTTTATGCACTCAAATCGTTGTTTTCTTTGATCTCTTGTCACTTTTTCTCATCGGATTTGAAACATGAAGGTTTGTTTTCTGTAATTTTTCTTGCGTTTGCGTTGCTAAGTGCTAACAAACATTTTGAGTTCCTTCGATGTTAATTGAATGATCATTATTTATTTTATGCAGTCGAATTGTTGTTATGTTTGATCTACATCACTACTATCGTTGAGCTAACATGAAATTAGGGTTTCTTTTCCTCAAGTACTTATTAGTATATTTTGATGTTAATAATTCGTATTTTGCATGTGTTTTAGATCGATAACCGAAACTCCTCCGCTGTCAAACGTGCCAGAACCGATGGTATGCTCAATTCGTAATATATTATGGCAGTTACTCTTACATTATTATTTTTAGTTGACTTCTCTCAGCTAATTAGTTGTCGATGGACTACGTGCAGTTTTATCATGGAAACTGTTTTACTGCATTATGATTGCACTTGCAAAATTGTGTTTTAAATTTTAATACATGTGCTAGAAACCGCCACTCGGGTTTCTTGTGTAATTTGATAATATGAGAACTGGTAATTTGGAGAGGAGGTCTAGACGTAGAAGGTATTTAGTTTCACGTTTGAAGTCCATTGGGTTGTGATAGTTTGTTACATTTTACACATGTTAATGCTATATAAACTTGGATTGTATTTAGAAAAATGTACTTAGAGGGTCGGCAGTGCAATTGGAAGTCATTTGGGTGAAACTTTGAACTAATTTGCTTCAATTTTGGGTCCTATATATGGAATTTCGGCTCCAAAATAAATCCTTTGTTTTTTGTTTCAAGCCATTAAAGTAAATCCTTAATTCAGATAAATTTCTTCTCTTATGAACTTTTAAGGCACCAAACCTTCTACTTTTTGAGAGATCAAACTTACTTCTCTGTTATAGTTATACATATGAGTATACTGTAAAAATGAGATCTATTTTGGAACTGTTATCTCCATATTCCATTGATTTTTCTTTCGATATTGTAATAGAGTATTGGGTTGAAAATTTTGGTATTTATTGGAGGTGGTTATGATTTCAGGTGGTCGTAGAGAAGACGACTGGACCTGTCCTAGCTGTGGGAATGTCAATTTTTCGTTCAGGACGACTTGCAACATGCGCAACTGTACCCAACCTAGACCAGCTGATCATAATTCAGTAAGTTGCATGATCTTTTTACATATTGTAGCGACTATTCCTTTTTGGCATCAATTACAGGATCGGTATCTTTCCCCCTTGCTGTAAGCTAGCTATTTCTATCGATATGATTGTTGGTTGAATGAGATACCCCTATTGTTCTGTGTTCCAACTTCCAACATAGTTTTGTCATTAGACTTTTGAGAACCCAAGCTTCATATTCCATGTGAATGATTTACTTTTGAGAGAAAAACCGGTTGCTTCATTGAACCATATTAATAGTACTGATGGCAAATAGTTGTTTCTTAAAAATTGTTAAAAGTTCATCCTGTGATAAAGATAATATAATTGTATTTAAATTATATAGTCATGATGTTCCAATTTGTTGATGTGGATTTCATTTTATGGTCATCTCTATTTATTATATTCTTCCAACCAAATGTTCATCTCGCAGAAATCTGCTCCAAGGTCAATGCCAACCCCGCAGGGCTACTCTTCATCTTCTCCTTATGCAGGTTCCGGTGCACCCTCATCAATGTATATGGGTGTACCTCCTTATGGTTCATCCCTATTTAATGGAACATCTATGCCTCCTTATGATGTTCCATTACCTGGGGGTTCTGCTTATCATTACAGCTATGGCAACCGCCTCTCTGGAGGGAACCCCTATCGTCCTCTGCATCTCTCTGGCACACCACCTTACTCTGGTGGGCCTATGATAGGAAATGGTATGTGCCTTTTATGGTTATTTTCATGTATTCCTTGAGTTCAGAAGGTGTAGTAGCTGTTGTTATATGGTGTCTGCTAATTACCTTGTGAAGGTTTAGTTATACTGTCAATGTAAATATGGTGACACGATCGACTTCTATATGATAAGTACCTCATGGCGTACCATCTAACGACTCATCTATTGAGTACGTAATTTATTGGGATTACAGGATACTTATCGTTGCTTGAGAATTGGTTGAATAGAAATTTTGTTACACATGTAATTTTTTGTTTACCTAATCCAAAATCAGTCTACAATATTTTCTGTCTATAATGTAGTAGCGTCAACACTAATAAGTAATACTTTTTCTTAAATATTCCATTCTATTATGATTGGCATTCTCTTTCTACTTTATTGTTTCTATCCATCAGTGCAGTTGAGTTTTTGTATTTATCAGGCTTTTTAGTGACATCTTGCTATTCTGGTTTTACATCGTTTGTGCAGGTGGTATGTATGGTGTTCCTCAGCTAATGGACCGATATGGCTTGGGATTGCCCATGGGCCAAACAGCCATGGTATGTTTGAATTTTTGCAGGATTTTTTAAATCATTGCCATGAATGCAAGTTTGATTCTTCTCTCATCTTCCCTGGGTTTAAAACTGGTTCTATTCTCTTTTCACTGCTAATGCTATAGTATTTGTTGAGTTGATTCATCATATGGTTCTTGTAACTTAACAGGGACCACGGCCTGGATTTTTCCCAGAAGAAACACCCCAAAAGAAAGGTTTGTTATATCCAACTTTTGTATGCTTCAAAGCAGATGATGAGATATGGTCCGTTTATCATTGCTTTACTCCAAATTTCAGATGGAACACGCGAAAACGACTGGAAATGCCCAAAGTGTGGAAATGTTAATTTCTCTTTTAGAACAGTTTGTAACATGAGGAAATGCAATACACCTAAGCCAGGATCTCAGGTTTGAGCTGCTGTCTTTGCTCAAGTTTATTGAAATATACGTATCACATATTGAAGCACTTTGTACTATGCCTTCTGTTAAGGACAGTTGTAATTAATTTGAATGCCATTAATATGCAGGCTGGAAAGTCCGGCAAGAGCTCCAGTAAGTACTCCATACATACATTTGGTTAGACATAAGAACTGAGCATTAACTAATGTTCAAGTCCATAATTTATACATGTACCAATTTTGTTTCAGAAACAGATATGCCTGAAGGGAGCTGGAAGTGTGATAAATGTAACAACATAAATTATCCCTTTAGGACCAAATGTAACAGACAGAACTGTGGTGCAGACAAACCGTTAGAATCCCAAAATTCCCCTTCAGAAGAAGAAGAGAACGATCAGGTTTGTTTTGTTAAATGTTCAATCCAATTGTTCGTTTGCTTGAAGCTGTTTAATTTTTTTCGTACTGATAACCACTATGAATGTAAAGAGAAGATTCTTGCTAGTTATTTACCCCTTTTATGTCCTATTGAAGCACATGGTCATCCTTCTATCCCTATTAATTCGTATTTATCTACTGTTCCAGTGAGTTCTAGGACATGTTTGAGACGGTCCAGAGTTGTTGGTCAGCTGTTGCTCAGTATGGGTATGAAAGTCAGTCATGTCGTCGTCGTCTTCCTGTTGCTGCGGTTATCGAGTTTCTCTGCTTTGTGATTCATGTTGTCAAAATTGTAGCCATATAAAGTTTGGGATTGTGGTCCTTAGAGATTTCTTCTACGTGTGGTGATTCATCTGATTGGGTAAGTGTTATAGGGGGTTATTGTACCTTTCTACCATTGACTTGCATATGGTTCCAATAATGAACAATTAGGATTGTGTTGATATGACCTTAAGTCGATTCTATATCTTAATTAGGGTTGGGTCCGGGGAGGGTGAAACATAGCACTGCCTTTATTAGTTTCAACTTCTCTTTTCAGATGTTTTTCTTATGTTCATTTTTCGCAAATTTAATCTCTCTCTCTTTTTTTTTCTCACACTATGCACTGGTCAGGGGTCTTCACAGAAACAACTGCTCCACTCTCTAGGTGGAGGTCAGGTCTTCGTACTGGGTGGGATATACTGTTTTTTTTAATCGGGTGAACCCCAAGAGTATTTGGTTTAGAGGCTGTTTGGTTCGTTTTCCATTAAATCCTGTATGGATAAACCTGTTGTGTGTATAGATTGGGAAGGTTTTTGTTTGGGAGGGGTTTTTAATAGATTGAAGGAGTGTGTTTTTTATTTGGGAGGGACATGTTTGGAATTTTTTTTGGTTTTCTGCATAGAGCTTTCCTTAGAGGCTTACTGAATAAACCACCTTCTATATCATTAAGCCACTACCAAACAGTCATGTATAGCTGACTGAATAAGCTGTGAGTCTCATTAAGCCTATTAAGCTGCTACCGAACAAACCCAAGTACAAAGATTGCTAAACTGTTTTCTGGTTGGATCACCCTGGAAGTGGTCACACTAGTCTTGTGCGGAGCAGCGGTCCACACTTTGAGGTATCTGGTTGCACCCTTTTAGAGTGATTGGTGAAATCACACATACCTACTGATGCACATGCACCCATGTGATAGGCAAACCATGGTCTCTAAGTTATTATGAGAAACCACCTAAACAAGAATTTTATAATATGGTAGGACTTTTGTGGAATGACAAATGATCGTGTAACAATAGGAGTTAAAGTGTGAAGTATTAAGAAGGGATTTCGACCCTTGATCACTTTTAATTTCAAACCAATCCATGAATTACGCTTGTTGATCTAATGTTTCTCTTCAATTAGGATTGATCCAAGGGTGGAGATCCCTTCTCACCATAACTTTCATTCTCAATGAACCCAACCCCTTTGTGGTATTTGGATGAATTATAACTATTTGAACTTGGTAGAGCTTTTGTGGTAGTAGTATTCTCCATGATCCATGTCTCCAGATTGCATTATTTTATCATCTGATTTTTAAATTTGAGAAACATATTGTAATAATTTTTATTCTATGATCTTTCATGCTTAATTGCAAATTCCTTACATGCACATATTTTGCTTATAATTTTATTTATTTATTTATTAAAGCAACTGCTTTAGTTGGCATTAGCAATAGGATGGAGAGTAGATTTCTGTCAGGTTTGTTATCCCTTCTGTAGTGGAACTGTTTAGTTAGTGCCGTTTATCAAATGATTTCCGGGTTCCGGGTAAATGCTTACTCACAAAAATCACCACTCTTATGTACATTATTGGGTAAAGATTTTCAGCCAACAAAATGAATTTTGGTAAGCGACTCGTACCTGACAAGTGGTGATGAGAAAGAGTCTCCTCCCTCACTTACTGGGTATGATTCTCGGTAGTTGTCCGTCTCTTACCGGGTAAGAGCATCTCCAACAACTACGTTAAAATATAGATTTTGGAGATTTAGGGTATGTTTTTGCACCAATGGCTATGCTATAATGTATGCTAAAATAGAGATACAAAGAGAGAGAAGGTATAAATCTCCAAATTTGAAGAAATATTTAGAAGTCCATATTTATGAGAGAAATAATATTTTAATTCTTTATTACCAATAGGAGATGTAGGAATTAAGTGTTTAGGAGAGAAAAATAATAGTTTATTAAATGTATTGAATATTTTAATAATATAGTTGATGAAAGAATTGTTAAAATAGAGCAGTTGTTGGAATTGGATGTAGTTTCTTTCAGAAATCTTAACTTTTCATACTCTATTTTAGAAAAATGGTAGCGTACTCTATTTTAGAAAAACGGTAGCGTAGCAATTGGAGATGCTCTAAGATCCTTAGCATTTGTCAATGCTCGCTTGGCAAGGTAAGAGAGTAACCCGGCAAATATTTGGTAAACGGCCCTTTAGTGTGGGTTAACCGTAGAATTTGAGTTTGATCTTTTCGAAAACGAGGCCTCTAGACGTCTGGGTAGTGAAATTATCCCTAGTGTTTTATATGCTGTAATGTAAATCAGCAAGGCTAAGAGTATCGATTTACCAAACAGCTATGAGTTTAGCTTTTAGTGTCCATGGTTTTAGCAGCTGGTATCCCTGGTCTTAGTTTAGTACAAGAACTAAATCTTGTTGGAACTTGGAACCGGCCGTTTACCAAATAAGCGTTTACCGGTAAAAGCACCCTCAATTACCTTCTCAAGTAACAATTTTGGCCATCAAAATGGATTGTTAGTAAACGTCTTTTACCTGGTAAGTCTCCTACCTCAGTTACTGGATAAGATTCTTGGTCTTTGTTATACCCTTTATCGGGTAAGATTGTAAGTCTTTATACTGACCCGGAAGGTAAACAACTCTGGTAAGTAGCTACCCAATAAACATTTAGTAAATGATCCCTAAATCCGGTGCATCTTTTGGATTTAAATTATGCTATTGTCCTTTATTTCACATAAAATGGAGAGGCTTATAGAAAAAGACCTATTTCTATAAATGTGCTTAAAATTAAGTGCGCTATTTGTAAAAATGTGTACAAATGGATTGATTAATGAAGGCTTACTCAGAAATTGTTCGAGAATCTTACCTAGTAAGAGTAATGACATGGATCAATAGTCTTTCTAGTAAGTAAGGCAACGACTCTTACTAGGCTAGTGCTTACTGGCTAATTTGTTGACTCTGACTCTTACTAGGCTAGTGCTTACCAGCTAATTTGTTGTCTCTGACTCTTACTAGGTTATCGTTTACCAGGTAAGCATTTGGGTAAACGTCCCCTAAGTAAGTTACCATTGGATATCAAATATTATACATGAAGTTACCATTGGTCCTCGGTTGTATATCAAATATAATCGGTTGGTTTTAGTTTTCGGATACTACACATGTCGTTGTAGTCCTTGCGACTTTGGATTCTCCGTTTGTAGGATGTTAATGGAGTGTTGGTTTTTGGTCAAATACTTGCATCTACTATCACTTGGCTTGGAAAAGAAGGTATGAGAACGCTCCCACTGTGCTAGTCGTAGAGCCATTAGAGGAAAGCAAGTTTTGGACACATCCCAAATGGGAAAGGGTGGACAGATCACAAGGACATGCTCGTCAAAACTTTATGACAGTATATTTGGTGCTCTACAAATGGCATCGTGTTTCCGTTGATCAATATCTAAAAAAGAATGACACTCCATAAAAATCAACAGATTCAACTGGAACTTACTCACCATAATTGGATACGATCCGATCGGATCGGATTTAAAACTTTCAACATCTAAATTAGATCAATTGGTTTTAGGATGACAATCTATAATCCAATAAAAACTAATCAAAATCCATTTCTTATCCAACCGACTCTAATTAATAGATACAAATAATTAATAATATTTTATAATATTATGTTTAGTTGATATTTGAATTTAATGTTTTTTAGGAAGTTAAAATAAGATATATGAATAATTTGTTGAAATCAAAATATTGGATGAATTCTATAGTAATCAATAGATGACAAATAATATCTAATGGATTGAACCTATTTGATCCAATCATCTATTGGATTGAATAGGAGCAAATGGCAAAATATTAACATCCAATGAACCGAATCCACTTAAATCAATTGGATTCCAATCGACGAATGCCCCGACAATGAAAAAGATACGTATAGGTCCCGTTTGGTTGGTAGGAATGGAAGGGATTTGGGGGGATTTGCATTGTAAATTCATTTCAATCTCATGTTTGGTTTGTTGGATTGTTCGGATTTGAAATCCTTAAGTAGTGATGGGGATTTCATGGGATTTCGTAGAATTATATGCAATAAGATTTTAAAAAATGTTAAAAACATTTGTTTTGTAATAATCAATTAACAAAAATGTAATTCAATTATTTTTAAAATTATATATAAATAATGAAATTCAATTTTATTCTAAATACTACAAACTAAACATACAAATGATTTTAAATCCATTTTAATCCAAATCCTTCCATAAAATCTAAATTTCTAAAAAACAAAACGAAATAAAAATTGTCAGACCAAAGCAATGACCTTGTCACATTTTTGTTTCAATGAAAACGTGTTTCTGACATTAGAACTTCTGTTGAAGCCATTTGTTTGAAGCATTTGGTTTAGATAGAAGTTTAGGTTAGAATGGTTACTGTTAGGTAGCAAAGCCTACTGACCTTTTGTCAAATTAAATTTAGTCAAGGGTTTCCACTTTTCTCTTGATCGGAGTTCTAGGCTCTCTCTTTATATGGTCCTAATGAGCCGACATTAAGAGATGTTTCATTAAACCTTTACTGGTAATAGATATCACCTTCTCTTACCTTATCGAGTAACATTCTCAGCCATTCAAATAGATTGTTGATTAGCGTCATAAACCCGGTAAGAGCGCTTACCTAGGAAAGAGTCTTTTTAAATAAGATTCTTGGTTTTTATCATACTCGATCGGTAAAAAGAAAACGACACTTGAGAGTATCTTCAATAGATTCTCCAAAATGAAAAATGGACCTTCAAAATTCCTACAACAAAAGTATATTCAACCTCAACAGATTCTCCATTTTGAAAAATACAGAGAATACAACATTGGTTATAGTATTAAAATATTTCATTCTTCTAATAAAAAATTCTCTCTCTAGATATTTAAATTTCAATTTTGCCTATCAATAGGAATATATTAAAAATACTTCTCTCATTGTAATACTTTTAGGTGTTCTTCAAATTTGGAGAACCTCTTTGAGTAATAATCATCCCCAAAATTCTATTTTCTCCATTTTAAAGAATCTATTGAAGATACGTTTAATATGCACTTACCTGACACAGACACACAGTTAAGAAGTCGTATATGATGGGTTTGGAAGTAATATATTATACGGGAACTTCTATTGCTTTTCCAGTGAAATTATTGATTGGCCTTTTTGTTCAAGACAAAAGTCTTGATGGGTCGAAGTCAATAACATGTCATGATCTAAAGCAGTTTGTTGGCAGCCCTATGGGGTATGGATAGAAAGGACCACCATAGTTCTGAAAGTTGAACGTGACAAGGATTGTGGTAATTACTGGTCTACCATCACCTTTAATGAGCCATCGACTTTTGCAACCGGGCTACCATAATTGGACTTTGCATTTATGATGCACATGTGACCATATAATTATATCCCCACAAGGCTACAACTTCTACATCTATACACTACCCTTTGAATCAATAAATTACGCTACTACTACTTATACACGTGGTTTGTCCACTAAATTAGGGGTTTGCACAGAGTTTATCTCATCCAATTCAAATCAAACTACTATAATCGGATATCTAATTGTAATTGGATCGAATGGGAACCAAAATTTCAACATTTAAATTAGATCGGTCGGTTCTTAGATAATAATTCAGGATCCAACAAAAATGAACCCATTCCAATGATCAACCAACTATAATCCAATTAATTATCATGTATAATTATTAACATTTTACTTGAGAGAGAGAGAGAGAGATGGTTTTTGATAAGAATTGCAGTTACCGTGAGAAGGGTAAGAATTGATATCTATCCTTAAATTAATCCTAGTTGAAAGATCATATGAAAGTAGAATTCTAAACTAATTCATGGGTTATTTTGGGATTTAATCTGAACCATTAAATTAACACTAATTAAAAGTGACTAATGGTCCGAAACCCTTCTTACACGTCCAATCTTAATTTTTATTCTCACACGATCCTTAGTGTGTGTGTGTATACACTAGTGGTTTTTAATAAATTAAAAAAAAAATTGAATACTTAGTTGAAACAGTTGGTTAATTGGTAGAAAATTGTATCAAAATATTGGATAAATCCAATCCGATATAATGGATAACCAATAATAACATCCAATGGATGCAATTGGTCCAATCTAATCAATCATCCATTGGCTTCGACTGGATAGGATATCCAATGTTAATTGGATTGAATCGAACGAAAAAAATCCAACATCCATCGGATGATTGGATTATGATATCCAATGTTAATTGATTGGATCGAACGGAAAAAAAATCCAACATCCATTGAATGATTGGATCGGATCCACCTAAATCTATTGGATGCTTTCAAGGTGACCTGAAAAAAGGGAGTTGGCTGGTTCAAATATTTCATATTCACGGCAACGTTTGGTTGGTTTACGGATGGGATTGGAAAAACAAGAGTAAAGTAGGCAGGTGAAAGAATTGTAGAAGGTTGTAAAGTATTAATCTACCATGAGTAGTTTATTAATTTACCAAGCTTGTCCCATTCTTCTAAATTTTGTTCCATAGGTGGGACAGAAAAAAATGCATGTCTCACTCGAAGACCTGTCTTGACCCAATACAATGTTGGGTCAAACGCTACCAATGTTTTTGTCTTAACCAACTATTTAAGGTTTGGGTTATCTAGACATTAGTTTTAGAGAACCAAGAAATCCAATGGCTTGTATGAAAGAAGAAATGTGTGGGGTTGCACCGGCTTAAACAATCGACCCACGACACTGGACCACGATTTCTGGTTCTATGCATAATCAAAGCTTTCACCCCACCACCACCGCCCTTCTCCAAAAAAAGACAATGGATCCACATGTATTTGACATATGGTAGGTATCATTTATACACCATCCTAGTTGCAAAGTGGGTAATTTTTTTTTGGAAGGGCGTCCCAGACTATCTAGCAAATTGTGACCACAAGAAATCATCCCTTATAAACTCAGTAGCCGCAATAGTCGTGTACGCCTAAAATCGAACCCTGGAAAGATGCCTAAAATCGAACCCTGGAAAGATGGGATATTCCACCACATCCTTTAGGACCTCAACCACTAGCCACAACTCTTGTGGTTTGCAAAGTGGCTACATTCAAGGGCATGGATGCACTAATTACCAGTCAATACACAATAGAAGAAATGCATGAATAGACCGGAAAATATCAGGCATTAGAAGGTGTGTCAATCACTGATAATAAGCGAAAGTGGTTACAGGTTCTAAGAATGTCGAATAAATAACCCATATCTTCAACGAAAACATTGTGAACCATATGGGAAAGGAGCCTCTACCCTGAGTTTCCAGCACTAGGCCTAATGATGAAGGATGAAGGCCTAAAGTTATTGAGGGAAAAGCCCTATGAATCAAACACTAGGTTCTTTACACTTAAACATGTTTCCACAGAGAATGTTCTTCATCTAATGTAAGAACTTGCTTACCTTAAAATTGTCGGAAGTCGTAGAAGCTTCTAGATTTCGTCCATTGGGTTGGAATAGAAACGGTTGAAAAGCTGGAATTCTTGGAACTGGGTGTTGGCGGCATTACTCGTCTTGGCATGAGGGTGGGGATCAATCGACTGTTGCTCAGCTTGCCAGTAATCTGATGACGAAAGAGGCACAGATTGAATCCCGTGCTGGTGAAGTATGCCGCTGGGGTTATCCGGGTGCATTTGATGGGGATGGTCGAGCGCGATTAGATCTGGCTCATACACACCCCAGGAATTGTTTGACAGAAGAGAGAGAGCACGACGAATATCGAGTGCGTCTACGTTGGGAGGCAACGACTCCTTGAAACCTGCATTAATGAAATATGTTGGTTTTGGCAAGAATCTGTAAACATCCCAAATCTAAATGTTCAGAAATCAAGAAGCTGGAAGATGTTCGGCACAAAAAGATAGCATATTGTTTGCTAAGAAACAGATAATGTTTATGTTATACTTTATATGTATGGATATGCAAGCCAACATATAAAACTGCTAGCGTGCTCACAGGAAAAACAAAAGATAGATATAAGAGGGCAAACACCGATATGATCCGACATAGATGATGCCACCATCTAAACAAGATTACCCTATAGTATGTGTTGATGTTGAAGTATGTTCCTTCGGTTGACAACCAGTTTTAGTATCTTTGCTTCTAACATAATTAAGACCGGAACATGTTTTGTCTTGATTGTTCACGCAAAATTATGTGTACATTTTCCTTAATGTCAGGTAGAAATACACACACACATAAAATACCAGATACTACCCGACTTTGTCACATAGTAAATCTTGACAACTCCAGGATAGTGACCGAGAATTGTTGTGTTTTCATGGTTATTATGTGTATACATACTAAATTAGCATTCTGTTGCACAACTTGGTTTGACAAATGCACGGAAGTGGTCACATTTATTTGCATATTCTTGTTTTTTGGTATATGTCTAAAAAATGAACTAACTGAATTTGATGTATTAACTTGATGAAAGAGTTCAGCGTAACCAACAAAAGCAAAAAGTAAAATGTGTCGCTTTTAGCAATAAAGCAACCAAAAAGCTCATGAACACCCTAAGATCAGAAAATAGGTAAAGATCTATGATGAAACAAATAACCAAGATAACTGCATTTAACATAAAAAACATTTTGGTCATCATGGTTTATGATTTCACGTCTTGGTCGGCTTCCATTTCTGATATTTAACTCATTTTTTCTGCCTCTGCGCAAACTTGTGGGGCAAATATCAAATTGAACCCTACATTCTATCACCACTCTTTGGGGACAAGATAATTATTGATCAACTCTAGAGAGCATGCAAGAAAACAAACCTTGATCAAGAACCTCGACTCTGGTGCCCTTTGATGGCACTGACCTATTGAAAGCAATGGTAGGCATGTTGACAGCACTTGGCAACTGCATACCTAGCGAATGAGGAAGGCCATCAAGGACTCCAGATTTGTCAACCTTTTCTTTTGCTATTGAGTATGCTGAGTTTGATGAGTTTTCCCATGTAGAACTTACAGCAGGTCTTGTTTGAACCAGAGGGGTATTGTTTAACACAAAACTCAACTGTTGTCTCCCACCTGTGCATGTAAAGTCTATTGAGTGAATGACAGATGAAGCATGCTTGAAAACCGTATCCTATGTTTATGCATGAAATCTACGAATATGATGAGCAGAAGATCAACTACACCACAAATAATGTGTTGAGAATGTAAGGGCCTGTCTGTTAGCAGCTTAATGAGCTTCATGGGACTCGCAGCTTATTCTGTCAGCTATACACGACTGTTTGGTAATGACTTAATGATATAGAAAGTGGCTTATACAGTAAGCAACTAAGCATCTAGGGGGGAGCTTTATGCAGAAAGCCAAGTTTTTTCCAAACCTGCCCTTCCCAATTAAAAAACATGCTCATCCCATCTATGAAAAAACCATCCCAAAACAACTTCCCAATCTATATAAACAAATTAATCCACAATGACAACTTTATCCATACAGGACTTGATGGAAAACCAACCAAAACAGGCCCTAAATAATGCCACATTAAGCTTAAGGAAACATATATGTGTGGGTGTTGATTCATGTATGTATGTAGAGGATTTATTATATATATATATATATATATATATATATATATATATACTATTAGTATTATAGGCTGCATACCAATAGCTCAAGTAGCATGACTGGTCTGCAGAAGCAAATGCTTCTTGAGTGATCATAATACATGACGATATAAACATGCTAACCAACTCAAAATTCATTGATGATGTACCATAGAAAGATGAAGACAGGTTTGTTGGGTTAAAATGGATCGTCTCCTGCTGTGGCTTTCGGCGGCGTGCATTGTGATCAGAAAGCCGTCTGCGACAGCTCCGCTTCTTTTCGTCAAACTCTGACAAACTGTGAAATCTAAGCCAACCATTTAAAAGCAATTATCAGATGAAAACCTTGCACAAGATGGACCAAAACCATAAAAAAGTTATCTGGCGGTAGATCCATGAGAAACTATATTAAAGATGTTAATGGAAATTCCATAATAATTTCACCTGCTACACTGTTGGCAAAACCGACGTTCAAGACCACCCACGACAACTTTTGGACATTTGGAATGACTTTCACAGACTCTGTGTTTCCGATGGTATTCCTTGGCAGATGAGAGATCAAGGTTGCATCCTTCAACTTGACAACGTTGAATAGGTGTACTTTGGCAAGATGGTTTAACTTTCTTCCCTGTAGATACAGACGATATAGGAATATCCGAGAAAGACGATGTTTTTGAGTTGCTCCTAGCAAAGTTATTCTCAAAATATGTCCTTTTACCAAGTTTTAGACCAATGAATGGTTCACCGGAGCTAACTGAAGCCTCCAATAATGGAGAAGTTCCATTCAGCTCACCTCCGGCAAACTCTTTCTTCCTGCTGGAGGTGTTGAAATTCTCGAACGAGAATTTGGATACTTTCATGCCCTCCTTGAATGAAGATTCAGTTGAAGCCGATATTGAGCTCTTTGCTGATGAATTATTTCCCACATCAGAGGCAGATCCTCCACTGCCACCAACAACACCAGATAGATTAAAAGACCCATCAATGTCTTCTTCTCCCTCTCCAATCCCCCAGTTGGTTGATTGTAGCTTCTTAGGACTAGTCATAACTTTAGAGCTGAATATTTCATGGTTTTCCCAGTCCCACTTTGTATTCCACTCCATGTTTGGAAAATTCTTCTTCTGGTATTTTCACTTGGTCTTCTTACATGGAATGCAAGTGAGATTTAGATCTGCAACAACTAAAACAAGCAAATATTTACAACAATTGCTTCCCTGAAAGTGCATGAAGTTTGACCAGACAAGAAGATGCAAGTGGGGAATTTAACCAATAAATTCAAATGACTTTTTCCATGGATCTAAAGTATGAGGGACCCAATTTCTTCATAGTATAAAGTTTATGTAATATAGTAACTCATACTAATTCAATAATTTAAGAGAAAGGGCAAAAACAACAATGGAAACAAAGTACAAAACCATATTGAGCTAATAAGTAAGCTAATTTTCTTGGTTCTACAGATCCCACTCAGTACAGAAAGATCTAAATAACTAACATCTCTCACAATAAAACTAAAATCAAACAGAGCCTATGGTTAACAGAAAAAGATTGTTGATTTTTTCTGCAAAGACCAATCTAGCATTATCCATAGGTTCGATTCTCTCGTGTATCTTGTAGAGCCTTGATAATACTTGTACCATTCTAGAACTTAGGTACGGTTCATGTCTTTAGAGCATTCCTTGGAGGGGTGGCCTCCCTCATTTGTATTGTAGCATCCAAGGTAAGAGTTTGAGAAGATAACAATAATGAACTTACCGTATTCAGACTATTCGTTATTCTCTTCTTGTGTTCTTCATAACCCTTTCATCTTGCATTGCCTAATTAGCTCAACTGGGGTTGACGTTAAGGCTGTAAGTAGCTTTAAGGGGAAAGTAAATCCGTATACATTCATCTACCATATAAAGGAAATAGCACTCCAACTCCACAGATCAGATTTCCACTTAACTATAGTAGTTAACAGCATCTCTTCATTCTTTTATTTCCTGTATTTAACTCCAATAATTGAAATAGATGGAGGAAAAAGTTCCTTTTTTCTTCCAAACAGACAACAAATGCGAAGTACACAGATGAATAGGACTCAACAGTAGTGACCTATGGATGTTCATTTAGTTTCACAGAGCCCACGCAATTTGGATCCTTATTCCTGGAATTTAGCTATAAAATAACCTTCAACTACAACATAATACTACTGTCAATTATTATATATATGTATGTGTGTGTGTGTGTGTGTGTCAACCAATTTACATACCTTTTCCTTGCAGACAATATAATTGGCATTCTAATTATCAAAAATCACTTTGCATCAACCAATATCTATTTGCAAACAAAAACAACATATTCAGATTGTCATCACTCGAATCTGAAACAAAAATATCATTTATTTTCACCCAACCTAATAATCGTCAAAATGAAAAAATAAAGTCGAGTGAAAATAATGATGTCCCCAGTTAAAAGGCGAAAATAGGACATTGTTTGGAGTCGACGAGGCTTGTTCCCCACATGACGTGGAAATGTCATTTTCTGAGTAGAGCCAGAAAGTAATTAAGAGTGATATAAAAATTATTTGCTTTTCCTCAAGTAGTAAAAGTACACATCTAGCCAATCCATTCATTCATTCATTCACTCACTTTCAGTTTTCGATAACAATAATAAATATAAAAATGAATTGATACTATTTTGGATATTTTTTCCAGATCAAAAGATCATAATGCTTCGAAAACAAGCACTTGTTTCACCAAAACCGGCAACAACAATCATTAATACAAGTAACAAACAGTGTTAAATGAATCGCTTCCCCTTTCTCAAACCACAAACTCGCTAATACTAAATCCGAATAGCTAGGGTTTCTACAATCGGAAATACCACACTACTTCAACAGTCCAACTGAACAGATTCAGAAAAGCAATCAGAATTAAGATATCTATCATCTTCGAATCTACTTCGTACTCCACATCTACTACGAGTTGCAAACATTTATGGAAATAAAGCAAAAGGTAAGATTGCTCGTTTAGGAATATGTATGTATATATAGCGATATTTACTTACCGATCCAAGTTAGCCCCTGCAACATCCCAAAAATTGAAGGAAAATGGGAAGATTTTCGCCTTACCGAATGAAGAAATACAGAGAGAGTAGAGAGAGATTATAATAATGGAGAGAGAGAGAGAGTGTGTGTGTGTGTCTCTGTGTGTGGATACTGAGTGCTTTTTTACGAGTTAAGAGAGAGAGAGAGAGAGATATTTTTTACTAGGTGTCTGAATGCGGGAGAGAGAAAAGCTTAATAAATAGAAACTTTTCAGTTATGACCCCTGAAAAAGTATGGGGAACAGTAACAGTCCTCTAAACTAATGGGCTCTATTTTAGTATATTCTTGTCTTTTTAAATTGTTTAAAAAGAATATAAAATATCTAAAAATAATACAGGGTCCGTTTGATAATTGCTGAATGATTTGGTGCAAAATGATTAACTAGTCAAAATAATTAAGAGACTATCATGGTATAGTGCAAAATGAAATATAATGGTTTGGTAATTATTTACAATGAAATTAGGTCACTGAATGATTAAAGAAAGTTCAGGATACAAAATCATTCAGAGAATTTTAGAATCATTAAGAGGCATATTTTTTTTTTTGTCAAACAACATTCACCTCTTAACGATTCAAATATGGTCTCTTAATATAACTATTAAGAAGTAAACAACAACCCCTAAATCATAGTTTAAAATTAAATGTATCGGTCGTTTTGGTTGATCATTATATATTGGATTTTTACATATGTTGTTTCATCTATAAAATAAAACATGAAATTGTTTTTACGGTTGATAACATTTAATGGGTTTATATTTGATTTACAACATATATATATAAGGTGGGGTTTAGGGGGGAAACCGCAAAAGAAACCGAGAAACGCCTTAATAATCGTTTATTTGTAAGTATACACATGTGTATACAAATAATTTGTTTGGTATGCACATTTGCATATACGTGCATAAAAATCAGGAAACATCTTCGATTACTTGTATATACATGTGCATGGGGGTGAGAAAAAACCGACCTAAAACAAAACACCAGAAAACCGATCAAAAAAAAAACAAAATCTAACCGACCCATATAACTCGAAGTTACCCGATCTCCGAGATCCAATATTTTAGATGGTTTACTCGGTTCGTGAAGGATCTCTATATCCATCACCCAAACCCATCTGAAACCCGAATAGCCTTAATATAAATATGTTTTATAATTTTCAATTTTTTATGTATTTTCTTATATATTGTTTCCTTAAAGTCTTAAACCTAATTGAACTGTCGAAGACATCATCTACCAAGAGTCTGAGATAACCTTGAGTTCTGAAATTTCTTAAATGTTGAGTTCTCCTCGCTTTCTTTGCTTCTCGGTCTCAACTCTCGGCAACGGCACCCACACCAGCAACCACTCTAAGTTTTCAGCCACTTTAGTCCACAACACCACCAAATGGTCCCTGATCTCTGTCTTCCAGATTCCTTCGGTTCAGTCTTATGACTTCACATGAAAGCTGGGGGAAAAAAATTGCACATGAAAGCTGCAAAAAATAGAAACTGGTTTGCATTTTGCTGCTTGAAAATCACATCCCCCACCTTGAAGCTATAAAGTCCACCTGAATCGACTTAAATTCCACCTGAAACCTGCATCATCCAAACTTTGTGGTTTGTTTTACCCAATTGTGACTTTGGGGGTATGTCTTACGCCAGAACCTCGAGCGAGTCTCTAATTTGGCCACCGACCCGATCCGACATATATTCACCCCTACATGTCCATACCATACAGATGAGTGATTGTTAAGGTGTTCATCGGTTTTTTATTTTTTGGGGTTCCCCTAAACACCTCCCCTTCTCTTTTTCTCTCTCCATACACACACACACACACACACACACATATATATATATATATATCATTTTAATTGGAAATGAGAGAAATTGAAAATGACCAAAATGCCACGTACTTGAGAAAGAAAAATACATGATTAACAAGATTTACCTAATCCGTGATTAAAATGCAAAAGCATAATGACGATATTTGTAGTTATTTCGTATGAGAAACCTATCCGTAATTTTTACCAAACCACACGAACAAAGTTTGTAATTTATTTTTGGTTTTATGACCGATTTCTTTTTATACCTAAGCACATTTAAAATTTTATCGTCTTATAAATCATCCATTTTATAACTTTAGAGTAACAAAACTTGTTACATTTCAAGTATTTTGTTATCTTAAAATCAATCATATTTTGAGAAAGTTAATGTCGTCAAATTAATCAGATAAAAAATTGACATTATAACAATAATCACATGTAAAAGTACTGCATAAAAAGAAATCCATCATATCTTAAAATTTATTATCATAAATTAATGTATATTGAAAATTACACCGGTTTTATCCAACAATAAATATTACATTTTTCTACTAATACCTTTGAAAATTGATTGGTTTCTTATGATAACAAACTTTAAAATTACCAAAGGGCTTTTAACCTAGTGGTTTATGAGTCTTTAGCCTCCTATGAGGTTAAGGATTCAAGCATCACCAAATGTGAGAAGGGTGTGTGAGTTTATTTGTTTTATTTTGTATTATCCATTATTTATGTATATAATGCATATGTATTTGTACATTATTTTTTTGAGTAAACTCTAATTTTGGTCCTTGAGGTTTAGGAAAATCTTTGAAAGTTTTAACTTTGATAAGTCTAAAAATCGTCTTTATGGTTCACATTTTGTTCTGAACGTGGCCCTTAGTCACTAACCCCGTTAACAATCTCTATTAGAATGAGGGATAATTTAGTCTTTTTACATGTTTTCATAAATATCTTTTAAAAAATTGTAAAATATAATTTATATATTTTTTCTTAAATAATATATTATAGCTTTTAAAATTTATTTGTTGATTTAAATTTATATATATATTTTTAAATTTATATATTAATTGGTATATCATTCCTATATATATAATAAAAAACAAAAAAAAATTCTAAATTCTAAAAACTATAATATATGATTTAAGAAACAATATGTAAATTATATATTATATTTTTCTTCATATATTAAGAAGATGGGTAAAAAGACTAAACCATCCCTCACTCCAACGAAAATTGCTAACGAAGTTAATGAACGTTCAGAGAGAACCACAATGACTATTTCCAAAGTCATCAAATTTCAGATCCCATTTTTTAAAACTTCATTAAACCTCAAGGACTAAAATTAGAGTTTACACTTATTTTTCAGAAATAATATTAGAATAACAAATATATTTACTATATTTATCATTTAACTTTTTTTTATAAATATATTAACTTATTTTATTTAATATTATAATAGTGCGTTGGAGAAAAAATTCTTAATTTTTATATCTGTGAGTGTTACAGCACTGGGCTGTTGATACTCTTAAAAGGACCATAATAACATCTCCAACAAATATATCTTCAAAATTTAGAGATTTATCTGTATTATATCCTTTTGTTATCTGTTTTGGAATAATGGGTTGGAGAATAAAAAAAACCTGCGTTTTTATATTTGTCAGTGTTACAACAATGGGTTGTGGATACCCTTAGATGCACTATAAGAACATTTCCAACATGTATGTGTTTCAAATTTAGAGATTTACTCGTTTTATGCTCTTTTCCCCCCCCTCTATTTTATAGGAGAATTTTAGCATAGTTTTTGGAACAATTTTTTTCTCATGATAACTTCAAGAGCTATATTGTATGTTCTCTCTCTTCTTCTATATTTGTAGATTTCTCTTCTCTCTCTTACTTTTACCTATTTTAGAGGATAGTTTAGCATGACTGTTGGAGCAAAATTTCTAAAATAATGTAGTTGTTGGAGATGATACAGAGCATCTCCAAAATGATCTATATTTTGGGTAACGTACTTTCAAAACATTCATTTTGGTATCTAAGATGTAAAGTTTTAAACGTTTAAGTACCGGGTAACCAGTTACCATATTGATGTGACGAGTGATGTGGTATCTGGTTAATGTTTCAGTAAATAATACTGAGTTTGATACGCTAAAATCTTCAAAATTTCTAAAGTAACGTACTTGTTGGAGATGATATAAAGCATCTCCAACAGGATCTTTATTTTGAAGATTACTCAACTAAATATATCATTAAAATATTTATTATAAGACTTATAACACATAAAATATTATTTATCTCTTAAACATTTAAACTCAAGCAATCTCATTGGTATTTATAAATAAAAAATCATTTTTCGAAAAAATCTTCAAATTTAAAAAATTTCATTTTCTTTCTCGTATTTTTTATTTTAAAAAACTATTGAAATAAAAAATAAAAATTTTATTTAAAAAAAATCTGTTAAAAATGCTAATAAAACAACATTGATGGTTGGTAGTGAAAATTGTAGCTTACGTAGTTCAATTTTACTTAAAATAGTGAGGTTATACCAAGGACAGATGTCATCGTAGTCATTGTCAATATGTATGTACTCCCCTAGGCAAAGACGGTGACGGGACATTTTACGGGATTTTTTATTTTTTATTTTTACTTAACGAGTTTCACCGTATATCTGGGTTAAAAGTGGTAAACAAAGATATTGATGAGCGGCTGGGATTTGATGGACACAGTATGTATGCGTGGACAGGGGTAATTTGTTGTCGCATTTCTCATACACGCTTCCTCTTTTATCTTTATAAAAAGGAAAAATTATAATAAAAATCAATGGATTTTTTTGTTTGAAATGATTAAGTTTTTAGATTTTTTTTTGAAACAAATAAGTCATTGGACATTCCAAAACATGTTAAATAAGTCATTGTACAATTTTTTGGAACAAATAAGTCTTTGGACATTCCAAAATATGTTAAATAAGTCTTTGGATAATTTTTGGAACAAATAAGTTCTTGGACATTCTAAAAAATGTTAAATAACTCATTGGACAATTTTTGGAACAAATAAGTCCTTGGATAATCCAAAACATGTTAAATAATTTCTTGAACTTTTATAAAACATGTTGGATACATTTTTATGACTTGTACAACTAGTTAAAGTGGTAAAATAATGAAAAAAATCCGGAAAAAAACCCAATGAACATTCATATTTTGAACGATTAAGCCCCTAAATATTTTTTGAACTAAAAAGTATTTAGATCTATAAAATTAAACAAATATAACAAAAAAGTACTTACATTTACA